GAAGTCAACACCCCAAGCTACCGCGTTGGCCAGTATGACCCAACCAGCAATGGCGAAGCAAGAATCGATGAACTGGACATGACAGATGAGGTGAGGGAAGTAGCGGCCATCCGGCTGGAAAAGATGAAGCGCCAAGTGGCTCGGTACTACAACAAGAAAATGCGGGCGCATGGAATCACCGAGGGCGCCCTCGTTCTCAAGCGTGACTTCCGCCCGGACGCCCGTGAAAGGAAGTTAGCACCGAAATGGAAAGGGCCATATCGAGTTCGAGAGGTGGTGGGACCAAGTACGTTCAAGCTAGAGCATACCAGCGGCAAAGGCGTAAAACGAACTTGGAATGCGCAGAACCTGCGAGTTTACCGGGAGGGCGCCTCCGTTCGATGAGGGCCAAGAAGGCAAAAGGTGGCCGTAGTCAAGAGCATTGTTAGTGTTAGAGACAATTGTGTAAAGCGCCGTGTTGTGTCCAAAAGCGCTCGTAAAAGTAGCGTCGTGTTGTGTCCAAAAGCGCCCCGTGTTGCATCGCCCGATTGAGACTTTATGTTTTCAATTCCTCTTTCGTAAGCAGTAAAAGCGCCCTAATTTCGCGCCCGGAAATTTTGTGTAGTACAAAGCGCCCTAACCTTGCGCCCGATCGTGTGTTGTCAATTGGTACGTGAGTAAGTAAAGCGCCCAATTTTGCGCCCGCCAAAGCCAAAGCGCCCACAACTCTGCGCCCAACGTCAGAACAATTAATGCGCCCACATTTGCGCCCTCGAGACATGGCAATCAGTGATAAAGGAAATTTGCGCCCAAAACCACAAAGCGCCCACACTACTCGCGCCCAAACACAATGATAACACGATAAGTAAATAAGTCCAGCAAGCATGGTCGCAATGTCAAAAAGAACATTTTTATTATACGCAAACAAACACAAAAAAAAATACAGAGGAAAATGGGGCGCCCATTTGCACTCACTCAGCGCCTGAGTTGGCGTCACCAGCACTAGGCGCTTTAGGAGAAAGAGAGACAGGAACAGAGTCATGTGGAGGCTCCTCCGGATTGGATGGTTGGGGCGCATTCCCCGCTTCCGGTGGAGTCTCCAACTCCCCAATCACATACTCGGCGATTTCGGTAAAATCCCAAGTAAGATCAGGGTGATCCCTCACCAGTTTGCCGTGAAAGATCTGCAGGCCAGACAAAATAGCACTGGCGCTCATGTTCCTCCCAGTCTCGGACTCCTCGAAGGTATCCAAAGAGTGGCGCAAGTTGGTGATCTCCTTCTGCGCCTCCTTCAGATCTTTCTTGCATTCCTTGTAGGCGTCCTGCCACCTCTTCTTCTCCTCTTTGAGGATGTCAATCTCACTAGCCTGGGCGCCCGCCTCTTGTGCCAGCGCCTCCTTCTCAGCCTGAAGGGTGGCTGACTTATTGCGCTCTTCGTCGAGGGCGCCCTGAAGCTGCGACACTTGCAAGGCCGCATTCATTTGCGCCTCGTCGCATTCCTTCACAAGTTGCTCGCGACGCTCCGTCGCGTTATCAAGGTCACGTTGCAACTGTGAGGCAGAAGAAGAGGCTTCGAGCGCCTCTCTTTTCGTTTCAGAAAGGCGCCGGGCGCCTCTCTCAGCAAAAAGAAGAATCTACACACACAAAATACAAAGAGTTAGTACTTATGCAAAGTTAAAAGAAACCCAAAAATCAAGAACACAAACAACGGGGAACGTACCTTGGCGCCCACTTTCGCCAATTCAGCAAAGAGGTGATCCCCATTCACCTCCGACGGCACTTGCCACATCTTGGCAGCCGTAATTGCCATGCCCATGGCACAGCCTCTGTCGACAGCCACCAATGGGGAACATGGCAGCTCGATGCGCCCAACGTCGGCACGTGTGGGTTGGAATATGGGGGGGCGCCCATCGGGGCCTACCCACTGCCCCTCTTCAGTCAGATGGTATTCGAAGGCGCCCCCTCCCCCGCTTCGGGCACCGTCACCCATCTTCTCCTTCCCCTTGTCAGCCTTCTTGCTGACATTGCCCAAAGGGGAGCCAGCCCGCTTCCCCCGTCTAATCAGGGGCTCGGGTTCCTCTTCCCCGGAGTTCCCCTCCTGCTCCGTGGGCTCCGTAGCGGGCGCCTCAACGTGGGGCGCTTCCTCCTCCTCCTCCGGTGCCGAAGACGCCACGCTGGCGGTCTTCGTGGTACCCCCCTTCACCGCCCTCTTCTTCTTTTTCTTGGGGGCAGCAGTAGGCGCTTGCGGTTCCGGAGCAGCCGCAACAGGCGCCTTGGGCCTTGGTGGTGGGGGCGCTCCTCCAGCCATGGCAGCAAGGCGGCTCTTCATGAGCTTCGCAATGCTCGTGAAGTCTGACCCTGCACATAGCAAAGTAAGTTAGCACAAAAGCAACATTCATTAACAACAAGACGAGGCAATAAAGACATTGACGCAACATATGGGCGCCTACGGACCATCATTATAATACGCCTCCAAGATAGGAGGGCGATTCTTGGTCTTGCGCAAGTTTACGCGCGTCTCGCAAATCAGCGGGGCGCCTGCCTTTTCTGCGGGGGACAACTCCACGTCTGTATTAAACTCTTCAACACTCCCCAGCTTCCACTCTCTCAGGAAGGCGCCCCCACTCTCGAAAAACGAGTCTCGATATGCCTTCATAAAGAAGAACCCGTTAAACCAGCTGCGCCCCAACTTCGGGTACTTCTCCACAAAGTGATAAGGGCGCCCCTTCCTCTTTTGAAGCGACAAGCAGTTGTCCAAAGGCGCCATCTTGAAAAAGTATCGAAAAAGGTTGAAGGTAGGCTCCACGTTATGTTCGCGGCAGCGCAGCTTGAATAGGATGACCACCATGATCACCGAGGGAGACAGGCGCCCCAATGGGCAGCCACAGGTCGTCATAATACCCTCCATTATGTGATCAAGGGGGAACCGCAGCCCAAAGCGGAAGTATTCTTGATACACCCCTATCCACTTAGGCCCGCAGACGCCCACTCGTGAGATAGGGGAAGGAGGCGCATACCACCAGTCACGGGGCAGTTGGAGGCTGGTCACCAGCTCATGAACACGAGCCAAGGTGACGGTAGAGGTGTGCTGTGGGCCCGTTACATCGAAAGACAATGATTCCGTCTTCGTCGGGAGGTGATCGGGCGGAAACGAATTCTCCCACACAGATATCTTGTAGGACCCATCGGCGGGCATGAAGCCCGGAGTGGAGGCGCTTGATGGACCCGCGGACGTCGACGCAGGCGCCTTTTCTAAACCAATAAACGACCCAGGCGCAATACGGCCGCGGAGTAAGTGACGCCCTACCCTAGAGAGCTAGAGTAAAAATAAGGAAAGCAACTAATAGAGCAAGGAAATCCCTTACCGCTTCGACTTGGGCGCCTTGCCTCGCCGCCAGCGTTCGAGGCGCCTGGTCTAGCCTCTTCACCCGCAGTGGAGGCGCCCTGGCCGACAACTTTGTCTGCTTGTGAAGACATTCTCGGACGAATGGAAGGAAAGGCTGACGAAAGCAGAAGAATCTAGAGAGATGTCAGGAGAGAATCTAGAGAGAAGTCAGAGCAACAATCTTAGAGAGAGGCGAGAATGTGGAAAGTGACAAGGACTGATGGGGAGGGGGGTATTTAAAGGAAAGGAGGAGCAGAAGGATAGACGCGCGTAGCGTGCCACGTGTCATCATCAAGGGCGGGCTTTTGAGCTCCCCCCCCCCCCCCCCCCACCTTTTCCTTTTTGTTGGAATTTTGGCCACATTTAAAAAAAAACTGCCAAAATTCAAACAAGGAAAACGTGGGGGCCAATATCAAACGCCCGCCCATGAGGGGGGCATAAGGGATTGAGGCGCCTTAAATCTGGCGCCCGAAAAGAAGCCGAATAAGGGCGCGCAGGGATCAAGGCGCCTTATAAAAAAGGGGAAAGAGAAAGAAGGCAAAAAAGACAAAACAAGGAGGCCGAGGCGCTCAGGAAACCGGGCGCCTAAGGAGGGACAAAGCAACCACCGAGTCAGCTAGGCGCTCAGCAGCAAAGCTATGAGCACCTAGCTGGGGGGGGGGGGGGCAATTGTTGGGGGTATTATGAGCAAAGCCCAATGAGCGGCAACTTGGGCTCTCAAGCAGCCCAAGTGGGGGGCAAGGCCCAAGTAAAAGGGAGGCCACATGAAGACAAGTCACTAGAAGCCAAAGGAGGCCAGACTGTCATGTGGTCCAGTGCCTGCGGGCGCCTGTCACGTGCCAGGAGTCTGACAAGGTGGTTGGGATGTCTGGCCAGAAAGAGACAAAGCATTGAATGAAGGCAGGGAGGTCGAGAGGATCAACCTCGAACTCTGGTAAGTATAAATAGGGGCAGTTGGTAGCATTTACACAGGTTGGACTCTCACTCACGAAACTCTAGCTTTGAGACACTTCTCTCTTCCTAGAAACTGACTTGGGCGTCGGAGGATTAACGGGCCCAGGCGCCCCCTCCTTGTTCGTGTGTGCAGATCGACGCCTGGCGAGAGAGGATTTGGGAGAGTCTTACGAGGGTAACGTGTCTCAAACAATTTCCATTGTCCAATCATTTGTAAGATCCTTTATTTTAAATCAACTTGATGATATTGTTCTTTGTCTCTTTGATATATATAAGCTTTGCAATTTTATATAAATATGGAGATGGCAAATGGTCTCAATCACACTTTTTAGTGCATGAAACACGCCTAAATCACTATATAATTATTATAATTTTTCCACAAAATATTTTTTTATGTACGAGGAGCAAATCCGCATGTACTGATTTTGATTCATTATTACTCCTGTGCAGTTTTAATTTCAGAATTTGAATTACCGCTTTGATTTATTTATAAAATTGTTGTTTTAATTTCATTATGCATGTATAAATATGAATGCCATTTTCTTACCATTTAGGGTTGTCGATATTCAAACATAGGTCACTTGATCATAAAGATTTCGATATCATATCAATAACCAGCTACTTCAAAAAACTCGAATTGTTAAAAATATTTAATTATAAATCTTTTAACCATTCAATTCATTTATTTCAACATGTGTTGCGTTGGTGATCATATCATAGATCAATAATTACATAATCGATGAGATTGGTGTGTAATGTGTGGTCGAATTAGCATGATTGAGGGAGGTAGAGAGGGTGACGTTATAAAAGGCATTTAGAAAAATAAAAAGAACTATACATACGTACTACGTAGGTATTTCATATTTGTTTAATATGGATAGGTTAAGAATTTATGATATGCACGAAAATAGATGGGGCCATATCTAGGGATGGTAAATGGTAATGGGTCGGGTCAGCGCGGATAGTACATATCCATTACCCTATCAAAAATAGTTCGGGTTTTATTCATATCCATATAAGAAATTGGTAGAAAATCAAATCATGGCCATACCCGTTTGGGTTTTGGGTATCCACGATTATCCATGAGTAATAATTTCCCTTTGATAACTCAAACCAATATGTTAACATTCACACGTATTCTCACATTATGTAAGAGTAAAAGTACGACAATAGCTCACTAAAATGAAGAAATTAATCGAAACAACACAATTCCATGAATATATTATATTTATATGTTAAATATAAAATATATTAGAGCAAAATAATAATTATTTCTAGACAAAATACATATGCATGTGTATAATCGGGCGGGTTCGGGTTGGATAGTAAGAAATCCATACCCACCCATTACCCGCAATATTCGGGTTCAAGTTTTATCCGTACCCACTAAAAGTCTTTCGGGTTCGGATCTTACCCTGCCCAATTAGATCGGATTCAGACGGATATCCACGGCTACAGATATTTTTGCCAACCCTAGCCATATCAATCAGGTATCATGGAAAATACTTAATTTTCTAATCCATAATAATAATAAAAAATATCATTCCACTAGATATGTACAAAAATACATATTTAAGAAGACTTTTTAGTCCACTTATATTAAGATACAAAAATGCTTATCAAATATATTTTTGTAATGTAATTGTACGTGTTAGTTTATTTGCTTATGAGACTACAACTTTTTTAGCTAGCTATTGGGAGGTCACTTTTCGAATAATTTGATGAATGACACTCGATTGCATGTATATATATATATTTGAAGAGAATATGTTTAATAATTGAATATCAGATTATAAAATTTATTTTTAAATAAAATCTCACTAAACTCAGAATTCTATCTGCTTCACTAATTATATGAAAACTGGGATGTGACTACTGCAGCTAGTTCGCATCCGATGTTTTCTCTTACGGTCTTACCCTATGGCCAAGGAATTCAAAGGTTATACGAAAATGACGGGAGTTGAAATTTTATGCGAGTTAATGTATGTTGGACCATCCATGAGATAGATATGCACAGTCACCAAGTTTAGGGATGGCAACCAAACCCGAACCCACGGGTACCCACCGACCCGACCCAACCCGGTCAACGCGGGTAAAATTCGTGTTGACGGGTTTTGGGTCGGGTTTGGGTTTAAACCCGTTCACTATTCACCGGGTTGGGTTGGGTTTGGGTTTTGGTAAACCCGACCCGTGGGTACCCGCCCACACATATAATTAATTTTCTCGGTATATTTAATATTTTAAACAACTAATCTTATTTATGTTTGTGGAGACATGTTTAATTTTTTCTTTCTAATTGTGTAGAATGAAGTTTGTGTTATCGAGTGGAGAGTGAAGAAACTTAATTGAAAGGAAGAAACCTTCAATTAATCATGTTATTTATGGATAATTTATGATTTACTTCAATTTTCTTGAGTTTTCTATATTGGTGTTGAACAATTTGTATAGTTAATTTGTGATTTGCTTGAATTTTCTAGAATGGTGTTTTAAATATGGATAATTTGTATTGAGAGATTGATATTTGACTTTAATTTTGATAGGAACTTGTTATTGTAAATATTTACGACAAAAACCCGTGGGTACCCATGAACCCGCGGATACCCAGCGGGTTGGGTTGGGTTTGAGTTTTTCAAACCCAATGGGTTTTACCCCGGGTTTTTTCACGGATAAACCCATGGGTTTGGGTTTGGGTTTGGCAAAACCCGACCCAACCCGACCCATTGCTATCTCTAACCAAGTTGCTTGCTCGTGGACCGCGACGATGGTAATGAGTTCTATCTCCAAGAAAATATGACTCATTAATTATATTATTCTTCAACTACGTACTAAGGGTAGATTAAGTATAGTTAAGTATAAAATGGCTCCTATTATCTTTTTTAATTTACTTCCTATACCAATCATCATAAGAGAAAATTTTGGTGTCTATGATAGACTTGTAAGTAAGAATATCCCTTTTTTCATTAGTTTATCGAGTATTTATAAATTTCAAAATTGATTCGGACGTATTTGTCAAGATGTTTGATCTTTTAAAAATATTCATCAACAACAACAAAATGACATTTTCGAAAAACCTATATCACCCTTTTTAAAATAACTATGAATTCATTCTCCCAAATAATTAAAAATGACTGCTGGTATACTTCTTTCATGCATACCAATAATCCCATTTGCATGGCCAACAAGCATAGTTTGTTTTTTTCTTGAGTAAAAAAGGTAAAGGAAAAAAAGGACGATATTCTTGATTTAGATTTAGCTTTCCTTTCCCTGCCCCAGCTCCAAAGTGAGACTAATTGTAAAGGAGAAATAGTTGTTAGTCAAATTGTGTATTTTCCTATTGTTTCTTCCACACGGAGAAGCAACAATTTCTCTCGCAATATAAAAAGACCCATCTCATTCATCTTTTAAATAAAGTTTGTGAATTCTTATTGCATAAAGTTAGTGATAATATATAGCAAATAATAATAATCATCTATTACTATAGCCACACGAAGATCATTAAACTCCTTGATAATCATAAAATTTCGGCAAAATACACTTTCATAGCCATAACTTTACACTTTGTGACAAATATAGTAAACTTTTGAAAAATACACAGAATTAACCATTCCATCCATTAATGTAACGAAACGGCTGATTAAACAAACGGTTATCAGTGACTTGATCCAGGGTGGAATTTAAATTTAATTATATTTACTAAAAAAACCCTACCCTAGTTTACCAAATATTCTTTTCCTCTTCTCCATCTGCCCCTTCCCATTCCTCTCTTATCCTCTGCGCCGAAACACCATTCCACCTCAGCCCATCCTAAATCAATTCACCTATCGATCCTGTCCAGCTCGTCTCCGTCATCCGCTCTTCAAACTCCTCTCCGCGACTCTCGATATGGAGAGTCGGGAACGAGAAACATCGATCCTCTGAAGACCTTCGCCGAAGCTGTTTTTCTATGTTGATGTCGGGCTAAAGCGAGCGGTGGGTAAGTAGATGGCGACGAGGGGGTCGTTCTTGGGGGAGGAACCAAAGGCGACCACTTTCGAGAGCACCGGTGGGGTTTCGAAGAAGCTACTTCCCTGGAAGATTCCGTCGCCCTCAAAATCCCCAACGCCGTTTGACCCGATTTTTTTTCGGCGAATCCCTAGGGTTCATAGAACTCCACATTCGGGAAATCCAATCTCGGAACCCAGAATCCCTCTTCGCTCTTTCACTCGACCAAGAAGAACCCCAAATCAGTTTCATCCAAAACCCCCTAAATTGAATAATCCATGGCGACTCCACAATAGAAAAAATCAGAACGAAACCTATCCGTCGCGCGCAGATCTAGTCGTCGAGGTCTTCAGCCGGAGTCACGAACCCGACGATTTCTTTCCCGGCCTGTCGAAGCACCAACAAGGATTCCTCTGTTTTTGCTTCTTCAACAACGACTTCCACCTTCAGAATCCAAGTCCCATTTTGATTGGTGTTTTCCCCCGAATTCATATGTACTTGCCCAAGTTCAAGCCGGGCAGGTAAATGGAAGAATCGGTGTACTCGTCGAAATTCAATTTGACAGTGTAGATGGAAGAGAGAACGAAGGGTGACCAGTCACATTCATTCCGGCGAAACACGATGACGGCGTGAGTACTACATAGTACACACCTAGAAGAAGAAGGTAACAATTTCAGCAGCAGCCAAGAGAAATTAGTGGATTGTCGAAAGAAGAAAGGGAAAAAAGAAAGAAGAAGATGTGTGATTTTTCATTTTCCTTTATCTATTTATTTTTGTTTTTCAATTTCCTCAAAAAAGATCTTTTTATTTTTTTGATAATAAACAATATTTTTAATTTGACATGGCATGACAGTTCCACTAAGAGTTGACGTGGAAGCTGACGAGGCGCCATCTCAACTTGTTGTTGACGGTCGTTAACGACATCTCTAACTCCGTTAATATTTCTAACTGAAATGGCTATTATTGTCAAGGTAATTTTCAATTTGTGGCTATTTCTGTATATTTTTTTAAAAGTTAGCTATACTTGTCACATAGTGTAAAGTTATGGCTATGGAATTGTATTTTACCTAAAATTTCTGATATTTTTCAATATAAAATTTGTGGCTATTTCTAACGGAAATGGCTATAATAAACAGGAACTGATCATACATGTGTAGTATTTTTCTTCATTTTTTATGACCACAAATACATATTCATTACCACAAAAAAAAATAAAAAACAAATACACATTCATCAATTACATTCCTATCAATTCTTTATTTCAAATCACATATAAAAAATTATCCCTATAAAACATAGCTGACAAAGTTTGACCTTTCAATATCATCCAAAACAATTGAAAATAAGAGACTAGCACAAGTTTATCAAAATAATCAATAACTGAAGGATCCAACTGACACATTTTAAAGTTCACGTACTTGGGGCATGAATACTGAAAACAAAGGGATTACAAAATTAAATGCAAACACCTACATTCAAAAACCTGACTTCTTTATTATTAGTAGGGCAAACTTACCGTTGGACTGATGCTTACATGTTGCTATCAAATGGTTACCATGTTAATTACCAAATTAAATAAGCCTAAATTCGATTAACCATGAAATATAATATTATAACCAAACCGTCCAAACTAATACAATACCCAAATTAACCAAACTAAAGTGTAATCGCTTTGGTTAACTGGTTAACCAAAATAACCAATATACCATAACATCATCATTAAGTGAGAATTTCCGGTTAGTGAATCAATTCACAACTTATATAATGAAGAACACATAACAGTCAACACAAAATTATAGCTAGCCCTTAACATAAATATATGTAACTACAACAATTATCTTACATTTGACTCTTGAGTGGTTAAGTATGTGTATATAATATATTAGATATATAGTCAATTACTTAACTGGTTAATTTGGTTTGATTGGTTAAGAGTGTCTAAAATCAAACCAAACCACTTAAACCAAACAAGATAAAAAAATTTAACCAACTAAATCAATTATCCAAATTAACCAAACAAAATTATCCAAATACTACCTGTTAAAACGGATAATTAATTGATTTTAATAATATCCGGGATACTGTCACAAAGTGCATTGTGATTTTTCGGCCTCTTACCAATATCGAAGGTAGGAGCTTTAGATCATGTCTCAAACACACTAGTGTACAAGGAAATTGATGTGGAATGCATTGTGCTCATACGAGGGGGAAAAACAACTAAACGTTTACATTAAACATTAAACTCTACAATCACTGAACAAAACGATAAATCACCGAAGCACCTTGTTATACTTCCGAGATCCGACCAACCTATCATTATCGGCTTCACAAAAAGAAAAGGTCACCCATATGGTTTCCTCCCATGCACTAACGCAGGCTGAGCCCAAATCCAGCGTACCTTCAACCGAAAGCCCAATTTATCAATCGTTTTCGTAACTAAGAAATTGTAAATGAACCCTGAAACAGTGCGTCTTGGCCCATTAATATTGGGCTATACAGACAGGTTCAACACTAGATTCGCCCAATCCCCACAACCACAAAATTCCCGCCCGTTGCCTCCACTCCACCGGCTGGCTAAGCTTCCTGTCTACGTCAAGACAACCTATTTACTATTTGAGCATTTCTACTATGCTATATAGTATATAGTATTGGTGCTTTAATGTACAATTTAAAGTTGATCCATAACATTAAATGTATAAGTTTAGGTTGTACTATTATGTTATGGTACAACTTTACAACTTGAAGTTGTACCATCACATAAAAGTACAAGTTCAAGTTGTACCATAAAAGAATTTATACAAAAAATATAGGTACAATCTGAAGTTGTACCATAACGTAAATGTACAATTTTAAGTTGTACCATAAAGGCAAAATCCTATAGCACCAATACTACATAGCATTGTAAAATTTCTCTTTACTATTTAGTGTCTGATTAATTTTTATAGTTGAAATTAAAAAACAATGACCGCAAAATCCCAAAAGCCTTTGCGTAATTAATGTAAGTGATAATGGCATTTTGCATACACATTTGGGTGATAGATGACACATTTTTGTCCGTTCTCTCTCTCATCTCTATGGACTATGGGGTTCCAAAAGAAACACGTATTTGTCTATAACGTGTTAATTTAGGGTTCAAATGGGAGTTTTTCCATTCCCCAATTTCATGTATGAAAAATGTAGACTTCACGCTCTTCTTCCAAATGTTATTATTTATAGATTAAGAACTTACAAAGTTTCTTCTCGATTCTTTTTCTTACAACAATCACTCCGTTGCATTTTGTTTGTATGTTCTTCGAGATAAATTTTTGTGAAATCTTTATCTACGATACGTTCTAATTTTTAGTGTCGGAACCACGTTGATAACAAAAGAAATTATAGCCCACAAACATTAAAATTATATATAATTGATAAGAATTTAACTACTTTCCTTAAAATTGTTCTGGATATAAATTGTTAACTCTATTCCAGATTTTTTATTCCACCTTTCTTACTCAACTCAAATATTTAACTGCGGGCGTTTTGGAAAATATTAGATATCTAAAAAAGTTTTTTCTCTCGTTTAGCGAGAGTCTCGGAGCTAGGGTTCCGGTGATTGTGATTGTACACTTTTTACCCCTTTTTTCTTAAATGTTTGAGGCACTTTTACTCCATGAGGTTCGGTTTTACACTAGGTTGTGATTGTTTTTAGTATGTTACAGATCCTAGCAGGTGAAATCAACCCATGGAACGAAAGATGGACGAAAAGGTTCGAAAACCGGTCAAAAGGGAGCAAACAACAATAGTTCATGGTGGAGGCCAACAGTTCACGGCCAGCCACACCGTGAAGAAGGAGCGCAGACCGTGAAGCGCAACGAGTCCATGAGGGTTTTGCACGCCTTGCAGGATTTCAAAATTTCACGGTCACCCCGACCTTGAAAACCCGCTCCAGACCGTGAAGCGCCTAAGTGAAACGATGCGCTTTTGCTTGACATCACGGTCCAAGCCCAATGTTCACGGCCGTGAACTAGGACCGTCAAATGTCGTCGATCTGGGTATATAAGGAGGGCTGAGCTGAAAAAGAAAGGGAGAGAACCTAGTGAGAGAGACTTCTTCATATGCAGATTTATAGAGTGAGAAAGTGACGAACAAGAGAAGGAGGAGAAGTTAGGGTTTCATCCAAGAGCAAAGTTTTGGGAATTTCTTCCTCCAAGGTTGATCCCCACACCACTAGGAAGAAGGCAAACATCATCAAGATGAGTTTCTCTCTTCTCCTTTGTGTATTCCCTCTACTTAGCATGGAGTAGTCCTTTCTTTCACTTGGGTGTTTGTAAATCGTAGCTATAATTATGTGAATGTTTGTATGGATTGAATGTTGTGTTTTAATACAAGTTATGAGGTATTTTCATAAAGGTTGTGTTGTGTTTTTGTATTTCCAACTCTTATGCCATTTTGACCTAGGTAGGGGGAAATCCCCTTCTTGCGAAGAGGCTTATAAAAGCTGGAATTCCTTGGCCAAATTGTGTCACCTACTTAGGTTGAATTAGAGAAAAACTTTTAATACGTATTAGCACCTTGGGTAGGTTGTGTTTTGGCCGTCTGGACTACGGTTCGAGGGAGAAGCCCAAACAACCCTTAGTCGATTGGCCAAGAGAGCTACATTGGTAGCTTGATTCCAAATCCCTTGGCCTAGTGACCGAGAGAGTGACACTTGTTCAGTTTTTGTGCCTCTCTACGGTTTACAACCGCCTTTACCACACATTTGTATTCGATCCCACAAGTCATGGTTACTATCTAGGGGGAGTGACACCTGGGTGAACCCTTCTCAATTAGTGTTCAAACCATTTACTTTTCCAGTCGCTTTAGCTTTGAACCATAGTTTTAACCATAAACTATTTTCTAGATAATGTTTCAAACAATTGAAGTAGAGTTAAATGGACCGGCCCGTGTTTGACTTTTAAAACATACTTGCTCCATATTGCACCCGGTTAAGGTTTATACTTGGGCCTTAATCAAGATTTTTATTGTGATATTCGAGACGAGTCAAGTTTTTGGCGCTGGTCCAGGGGAGTTTCGATATGTTATTTTGAAAAGATTGTTTGGTGTTAATCTTGCGTTTACCTTTTGTTTTGTGAGTGTGAATCTTGCTTGTGTTAGACGAGTTGTGTTTCAATGAAGTGTGTGCAGGAGGGTGTATGACTTGGGTAATCCGACACCTTTGGCGCCACTAGACGAGAATCTCAACTGCACTCTCCGACTCTTGGCTCGTGAGAGGGAGCTGGCAGAAGCAAGAAGAAGGATTGAAGAGAGGGGACAACCACAAGTTGGTCCCAAACTTAAAGAAGTTGTAGTTGAGGAAGAGCTTGAATTGGAGGAAGAGGAAGGAAATGAAGCCGAGATGGCGGCTAATCAAAATTCCCAAGAGGGAGTTGAGGAACCGAGGACCATGGGATACTATATGGCTCCACGGGCGACGGATATCCAGCCGACCATTGTGCATCCACCCGAGGTCGCCAACAATTCCGAGACCAAGCTTGACAATGATCCAAAACAATGTGAAATTCCAAGGGCTTAAAGACAAGTCTCCAAGGGAGCATATCCAGAGGTTCGTCGAGATTGCAGGAAGTTTGAAGATCAATGGGGTACCCGAAGAGGCTTTGAATTTGAGGTTATTCCCCTACTATACTGCAGGGAATGAGCTCAAGTGGCTCAACAATATAACAGCCCTCTCGATTAACTCATAGGATACGAATTTCTCAACAAGTTCATGGCCTGATATTGTCCACCTTCCAAGGCGGCGGCCATTTTGCTCAATAGGAGGATGCGATATGGAGGGACTCATGGGAGAGGTACTCTGACTTTTTCCTCTAGTGCCCACATTCGGATTTGAAGAACAGTTCCAGATCAAAACCTTCTACGACGGTCTCCTCCAAGAAGACAAGATTCTCATTGACTCTCTATGTCAAGGGAAGTTGATGATTAAGACTCCAACCGAGGTGATGAGGACATCAATGGGCCAGTCACACGTGCAAAGGCAAGAACATTGAAGGAGAAGCTTGCAACATATATGGAGAGCACTTTGGAGTCATGGACGTGGAGCTGTTTTGAGGGAAGTCATATATGATGATTAGAGTGGAGGAAGGAGTAAGTGTTGGAGAGAAGGCAGATTTCAAGAAGTAGCCTTAACGAGTTTGCTTAACGGGTCCAGGCTTAACGGTTTGGGCTTAACGAGTTTGCTGAGCTGTTTTTGGGTTTCCTTGTTTTAAAGTCGGTTTATGATTGTTTTTCCATGTTGGAGTCAGATTTGGATTGTATTTGCCTATTTAAAGGGGCTGAACTCGTCGGTTTAAGGGTAGAAAACCCTATTGATTAAATTGAAGGCTTTGGCCGAGTTCCCTTGAGGACTTTTGCCCTATATACTCTATTGAGCATTCTGGAGTGTTAGAGAGACTCTTATTAGCTAGGTATTCACCCTATTTGTGGCGAGCTACCCATATCAACTGCCCTTGATTCCGAGTTGAGATTGTCCGATGATTCCTATATCGATTGCCCCTTTTCACGAGTGAGTTCTGCCCGGTTGATCCCATCTTTAACTTGGTTCTTTTATTTGGTTCGATTTGCTTGGAGCTGTGCTACTTTTGATTGCATCAAGTGGTATCAGAGCTAAGGTTCAAGTCAGTGGCGTGTTCTTGAAGCTTCTTGAAGTTCTTTGGCAATCTTGACGACGTGTTCATGTTCTTGGAGGTCCTTGGAAGTTCTTGTGCAGTTTCTTGAAGATCTAGGCGTGTTCTTGAGTTTCTTGAGCCGCAAGATAAAAGGTTGAGTTTGGTTCTTGGAAATCTAGTGATCCTTGCATCGCAAGCATGGAGGCCGCGTTGGATGCTATCAAAACCCAGCTGGAGAACATCGCGCGAGCTCAAGAGGAGCAAACAACGAGGATGGGGGCGATGGAAGCAGAAGCTTGAAGCTAACCCTAACCCTGATCCTAGACCTCAACAAGGAGAAAGGGAAAGGGAAAATCGAGCTCCTCCAACCTTGGTGCATGAACTACAACGACATATGCGTCGACATCGACGTCTTGGAATGCCTCGAGCTGAGAAGAGAGGGCGGCAACAGCAACATGAAGAGGTAGAGGTCGAAGAATTTGATGAGGGATTTGAGGATAATGACGATCTTAAAAACCTCTCGGTCACGATTCCACCTTTTTGTGGTACCACAAATCTTGATGCCTACTTGGATTGGGAGCGAAAGATGAAATTGGAATTTGATTGTCGCAATTACTCCGAAAAGAAGAAGGTGACGTTGGTTTCCCTAGAATTTTTGGATTATGCTCTCATTTGGTGGGATCAATTGTGCTCGAGAAGGAGGAGAAACAGGCAGCGTCCTATTGAAACATGGGACGAAATGAAGGGTATCATGAGGGATCGGTTTGTACCGAATTCCCATTTGAGAGATATGTGTCAAAACCTCCTGCTTCTACGACAAGGAACTAAAAGCGTTGAGGATTACCACAAGGAGATGGAAGCATTGATGATACGTGCTGATGTCAGCGAGGATCGCGAGGCTACCATAGCTTGTTTTCTATATGGTCTCAATCGAGAGATCAAGAACGTAGTGAAAATACAACTGTTCCTTGAGCTTGAAGATTTGGTGGACATGGCTAGCAAGGTGGAACGACATTTACGAAATAGGAGGTTTCAACCCTCCACGAATTCCACACGATCTAAATAGGGGGGTTGCAACCAACCCTAAGCCGCAAATGCCCATGAAAGAAAATCCCAGACTAGCAGCAAGGGCGGATGGCGCAAATCCAGTGAAGCATGGTGGATTGTCGAGGGAAATTCAGTGTTTTAAATGCCACGACATAGGGCACATTACGAGCTAATGCCCTAACAAGAAGACCCTGATTTTGCTCGACAATGGTGAGTTTGTTTATGAAGAAGAAGTCGAGGAAACCACCGATTCTGATATTGATGAGTCCATTTACAACGAAAACTAGAAAGATATTTAAAGGAAAATAAACCTAATACAAACCTAATAGAACTAGGAAAAATTAAAGTAAAAATCTACTCTAAAAAGGACTTAAAATTCGGGTTTAAACTTCCTTTCTTGAAGCACAAGTAAGCTATCAGCAAACAGTCCAAAAACAGCTTTCATACTAACTTCACGCCATTCATTCGAGGCCCTCCAATCTTTCATACCTATTTTCATTACGTGGAAGCCTCTGGACTCGAATCAACTCCATGCCCCTCGAATTGAGCTCCAAAGTAGGCTTCACAAACACGTTTCCAGACTTGGCATTTTCTGGCAATTTTCCAGTTTTGAGGAAGCAACTTTGAGGCCTTGGAAAACAACCTTAATGACTTCCTCTGGATCCAAAAAGCATACCATTGGAAAGATGGCAACTTTATCTTTAAAACAAGCACCTAACCTTGAATTGACACCAAGCCAATTGAGAGAACCATGCCTCCAAAGTAGGTACCATGAACTCGGAAAATGACAGCCAAATTCTGCCCTTCTTCTTTCCAACTTTGATAGCTTCTTCGTCAAGTAATTTAAACGTGCATAGTTAACCATTTGGGATCATATCAGTCCCTCCCTCTTGAAAAAGTGTTTCCTTCAACACGTTAGCCTTTCGTTGCTCTAACTTTTCAGAAAATTCATCCCAAATTGGATCGAAAGAGGGCTGCTCAAACATGTTATTCTGCAGAATTTTGACAGCTCAGGAATCTCGGGCGTTTTAATTTCCGTACAATTTGAGGCGCGTTAGAGGTGCCTAAACCTTCCATAATCATCTAGTAACTGAGTCCCAGTAGTTGTTTATTCGAGCTCAATCTCTCCAACGAGATACTCATTTTTGTAATCGAACTCTGGCTTTGGAGAAGAGCTTCTGCAGAATTTGGTCTTGCTGTTTGATGAGACTTTGCCTCTATTCTTTCTATGGAATTCATTGCTGGGGTAATTTGAAATGTATATGCAACATTGATGACCCTCGAATTGCCCTCTAACTCGTCATCCATGTCTGCAGATTGTAGACTCTGTTTTGCCGGAGCTGAAGAAAACACGCTGCTCGCGTCGCCGGGGCATTGTGCACATCGGCAGGCTGCTCCTTGTCTTTTCCTTTCTTCTCCTTCCTTCATTTAACCTCCAGGGACTCGTTACTGGCCTAGTCATGCGCCGGCGTCGCCTTTTCGTCGTTGGCAGAACTACTGGCATCAGAGCTCTGTTTTGTCACAGAAAAAATGAGGCATTCTGCGTCGGCCTGCTTCCTTGCTGGGCTGCTTCTTATCGTCAACGGTGTCGCCCAAAAAGCCTTCCGATAATCGTCCTGGAGTGGGTGCATCTCCCTCAAGTCTTCAGCGGCTTGTTCTTGAGAAAAGGGTGTTTGGACTTTTTAGGGACGAGGGTACACGTACGATGGCCCAAGACCGGGTGACTAGGATTATGATACAGTCGTGAACTACGTTCACTTTCCGTAAAGAATATTTCCACCCTCAACAAGCCTAGGGTTACAGGAAATTTCTTCGTATGATAAAACTATCACCACTTTAGGTTCCAGGCTTAAGTACCTAAAGCATATGCGATATTTAGCATCAAGCAAGTCATGCATACATCGAGCCCCCAGTTTAACATTAAATACTCCAGTTGTAAAACTGATTTCCAGTACTAACCATAAGTTCCATACTTGGATCTATTGGGTTTTTAACTCACGACAATTCCTATTATGGAATTTATGCAAGTACCTTCTCATGCAGAAAAATTGAGAGAAGGACTCTTTCTAGTCGTTCCTTGATTCAATATACAGAATAACATTTTCCTCCCCCATGTTTCACATGGAAAATTGAAATAACAACTTTTTATCAAAGTTCACTTATCTTATATTGGTCCCAAAGATAAGCATGTCATATATATACAAATGTACGATGAATCCATTACCAGAATCATCATCAATTGTGTATACATTTTGTTTCTTTGGTTTAAAATAACATAAACCACTAGACATAATCACTTATCTTTGATTAGTATCAAAGATAAATATGTCATCTAAAACAAACACAACGACTCTTCTACCAGAATCAACAAACATTGTATATACAATTTTGTCTGCTTGGTTTAACATAAACCACTTAGACAAAACCACACCATCAAACCACTAGACAAATCCATATTTGTCTGGCACTTCGTAAACGTCGAATAGAGAATTAGACAAATTAACCATTGAGTATGTGACCTACCCAAAGGCAATTTTCATTCTTCTATTTCTCCAATTTACGAATCATTCTCCTTCCTCCTCATCTTCGAATCATCCCTCTTCCAAGTTACCTTCCGGATATGGAATACACCATGAGACAAGTACGAAGAAAACCCATCTTCTACTGCCATCGATGAAAAACCAATCATCGAACATTCTCATAATTCCATAGACTGGAACCAGTTTCTTGTAAAGAGCGGTTCGAGCCATCGTACCGAAAAATATTCTTTACGATTGTTGGGACTTTTTAGGGACGAGGGTACACGTACGATTGCCCAAGACCGGGTGACTAGGATTATGATAGAGTCGTGAACAACGTTCACTTTCCGTAAAAAATTTCCACCCTCAACAAGCCTAGGGTTATTGGAAATTTCTTCGCAGGATAAAACTATCACCACTTTAGGTTCCAGGCTTAAGTACCTAAAGCATACTTAGAACTTTTAGTAGGAAGAAGAATCGATTTTGGCGTCTTATCTACAACAACCACCGATGCCCCTATTTATAGAAACAATGACGAAGCATTGTATTGCTTCATGAAAACGTTTGGTGGCTAACTGCCAATTCCCAAATGTTGTCATCATCCAAAGTAACCGCTAATTTCATTTCACAGAGAGTTGCATTCCATTATGAAAGAATGCATCTCTTGGATAAAATAATGCATGGAATGGCAATTCCAAATTGCATCACGTGGAGGCAAGAAGGAATGAGGAAGTGTCCCAATTCAAATGAAATGAAAAGTTGGATAATCAATTGGAACGTAGGCTAATTAATTTTAATTAACCTGACCCAATAATTTAACTAACTCGGTCCAACCTCAAACTAGTTTGACCCGGTTAGTTTGGTTCAACCAAATTTCCAACATTCCTCCCCCATTTTAGTGTATTCTTAGAATTCACTAAAATCACAACATTTTTCCAATAAAACTTAAGCATAAATGAAAATGTCGTGACGATTGAATTTTCACCTTAGTATATTACACTTGATGAATACTCGAATACAAATGGTGTCGGCAACGATTGAACCCATTGACTCATATGAATATTCGAAGATAATATACACTTAAGTTTTCAAAACTTCTAAGTGCCTTGACACTATTATCCGCCATGTGTCCAATCCTTCTCATAAGCGCACACGAAACCAAAGTCCGGGTTTCTTGAAGCGGTTACACTTCATGCTTACGTAGGTCGGATCTTTTATTCGTGTACCCGCATAATACACTTTGTCAAAGATTCAATTAAGAAGTTTTGAACTTCATCCTCTTCTCTCATGTAGGATAACAAACACATACTTCGGGATGACAAATTGTGTGCTTCAATTTCTGAGAATAAGCTTTCCACATTGAATTCAGCCTCTAACGTTGTATTAGAGGGGAATTGGGTATCCCATTACCAGAAATTATATGGACTTAACCCATCCCTTTCACAGACTTGACAACCAAGTCACGAGTTAATCATTTCGTCAAATGGTAAAACTAAATTATCTCAAGACCGGTCACATTACTTTGACACAATTCCATGAGTGATCAATTGATAGATTTTACAGTGCCTAACTCCCACGTGACCATACTTGTCATTTCACTTGGCTATACGCCTTAGCCAAAGTAGCATTACTATCACCAAAAATAGTAATAGGTGAGATTGGTTTTAGCCATAAATGAATTTCATAAACCAAACATCTCATCAATAATGTATTTTCTCTAAGAGAAATCAAGGCCACAAACTTTCATACCTATTTTCATTACGTGGAAGCCTCTGGACTCGAATCAACTCCATGTCCTTCGAATTGAGCTTCAAAGTAGGCTTCACAAACACGTTTCCAAACTTGACCATTTTCTGGCAGTTTTCCAGTTTTCATGTAGCAACTTTGAGACCTTGGAAAACAACTTTAATGACTTCTTCTGGATCCAAAAAGCATTCTATTGGAAAGATGGCAACTTTATCTTTAAAACAAGCACCTATCCTTGAATTTCCACCAAGCCCATTGAGAGAACCATGCCTCCAAAGTATGTACCATGAACTCGGAAAATGACACAGATAAATTCTGCCCTTCTTCTTCCCAACTTTGATAGCTTCTTCGTCAAGTAATTTAAACGTGCATAGTTGACCATTTGGGATCATATCACAGCCTAAGGAGGAGAGTAAACAGCGAGAAAACATCTTTCACACTAGATGCGTGGTCGATGGAAAGTTGTTGTCCCTAGTAATCGATGGAGGAGTTGCACGAACGTAGTCAGTGCGTGTGCAGTGAAGAGGCTAGGGCTGCCTACATTGAAGCTTCCAAATCCATATACGCTGCAATGGCATAATGATCATGGATCCATCAAAGTCATGAAGCAAGCATTGATGAAGTTCGAGATTGGTGGATACAAAGATGAGATTCTATGCGACGTAGTGCCTGTGCAAGCTGCGCATATACTTCTTGGCCGGCCATGGCAGTTCGATCGACAAGCACAACATGACGGAGTGACTAACTAGTACAAATTTCAACATGGAGGACATAAATTCATGTTGAAGCCTTGACACACTAAAACACAACACCAAACTGCGACCAAGTGTAATCGCAGTCTGGAAATGCAGTAACAGGCAAGCTCTAATTGTCAACCCGGGGTCTAGATCTACTGCCTACTTCGTGTATATCTGTTATCTAGCAAACTAAGTTGATTGATTGTTGATTTACGTAAAAGCAGTAAGAAAGCAGGAAATGGTTCGGTTTTCTAAAGCAAAGGAAGAGTCACTCGAGAATAAGTCCCCCTAGCTCCTTAGTTAGGTCACAGTTGTAATTACTTTTGGTTGCTTTACTGCTGATTATACTGCGGAAGATCCGACAGTAGCTTGGAATCTCTTAAGCTGCCCAAGCCCTCTCAGTCAAACTTCCCGGCAGATGACTAGTCTTCACCGGGATGGAACGTTGAGGCAATGAACACAGAACTCCACTACTGGAATTAGATTCCAGTACAAAGCAGTGAATCGACTAACTCTCGTATAATCGATTCACTACTGTCGCAACCGCACTTCCGAAATCGGGGTACCCGTCGCGAATTGCTCGGAGTCGCCATCGATCGTATTTTGTGGTGGATCGAACACCATTTGACTCTATTTCAACCATGGAGTCGAAACCGGGATTTGGTCTGCGAATTTTTGAGTTGGGTTCGGGAGTATGGTTACGTGTGGGGAAATGTATTCACACCCCACAACGCCCAAAATTGGTACTACTTAAATCGATAAGTTTTTAAGGGTTAGGTGTATTATAATTTGTGCCTTATTTACATATTTAATTAATTGATTTGATTAATTACATGTTTGTTATTAATAGTTGATCATATGTCTATTAACGTAATTCTCAAAATGAAAGAAAGAGTTTTTAGATTAGTTGGACTCGAACTTATTGGTTGCCTACGTACCCGAGTAGTCGGGATCAAAGTCCACGTAGTTCGATGTAATTTTGAGTGGGTTTGAAAGAGGAAACCTAACACGTTTTATTGATCGTGTTTAAGGTTTGTTAGTGAGTTATTTTGAGAAAATAATTTTTGTATTTTGATTTGGTAATCGAATGAATAACGATTTTTAATGAGTTATGTCATATAGCTATTATGAGCTACTAACCATGATTTGCGTATTAGTGGTTAAATTATAAAATGGCGAGGTGCATAACTAATGTTGATTTAAGTGGCCAAACACAGTGAGTGTGCTCGTTTTAGGTAAGAGGGGTTACCACAAAGGAAAACTTAACCTAATTGCTTCTAATCTGGCCGCCTAATTGACTCCTCCCTCTCTCTCGTTCTATTCGCCACAAAAGCGATCAGGGGAGAGCAAATACCTCGTCTTTCTTCTTTCTTCGTCCACCTTCGATTCTTCCTCTTCAAATCGTCCTCCCTTCTTCACTTCCTCTGGAAATCGAGCAAAGCAGAAAGCAGAACCAATCCGTTCCAATTTCCCTCTCCCTGCCCTTTCTCGATTTGCGTTCCCCTCTCTTTCTTTCTTTGTTTGAGGTGCGTGAATGATTCTGCCCCTCTCCACATGTTGTGGGTGTTTAGCTGCTGCCTTCTGTCATTTGCTTCTTTTTAGTTCTTCTTGTCTTTGTTGTTGTTGTGTTTTTCATATTTGCTTTCTATGTTTGTAAGGAGAGGAAGTGTGAATGGAGTCTTTTTGTGGGGTTAAAACAGAGGTTTGCTTCACTTGTCTGTTCACTTTTTGCTCTGTTTTTGTGTGTTTTTAGGACGAAGAGGAAGGTGAGGAGATATGTCTTTTTTCTTGCAAAGGAAGGGTGAGGGAAGTCCCTGGAAGCTAGGTCGAGAAGAAGATCCAGAGGAAACCCTCCAGCAGAAGAGTCCCCCTTTTTTTGTCTGCTCAAAGGGTCATTAAATAGAAAAGTTAGCTTGGGGAGCAAGTCAGTAACAGTGTCGGTTTTGGGTCGGACTGGTCTGGGTTGGGTCTGACCGATATGGGTTAGATCAGACCTAATCTCTGACCAGTTTGATTTCATCGAGAGCTGACTTGGCCTTGTGGGATGGACTTGGCTGACTTTGACCTGGGCTGTTTCAAGATTTAATTGGGTCTTTTTATTTATTTTTCCTTGTACATTGTAATTGCTATTAATTGTGTTTGATAATAATTGTACTCGTATTTTGTAATTGTAAAAATAATATGCGGTTAATATTGTTTAGCATTGTACTTGTATTTGTAATTTATTTACTTAATTTTTTTTATCTTATTCTTTATTTTGAAACCCTTTTTATGTATTGTTTTGATATCAAAGCCCAATCATCATTCGACCCAATGTCTTAAGAAATGACTAACCTGCACGGCAATCAAAATCGACTTCATGTCGATGCCTTATCTAGTCACTATCAAGTACCGCTCGAGATTTACTATTGCATAATCTCACCGACTTAAAGCAAACCCAAACCACTCCTAGCACCAACAAATACAGTTTAGTTTGAAGATCATTCAAGATTTGCTATTGCAAACCTTAAACAAAAGAATTTGTTTAATTAAATATTTTTCTAGCCAGGACAAAAAGTGGTGTCTACAGTTGCCCCCTTTGTATATCTCTTGGTAAAGAGTTATACGAAGTTCCTTTATAGACACCACATTTTCTCAGTTTATAGGAGGATTATATTTTGTTGGTGACGTATTTTTTAGGCGTTCGTCATCGCCAATTGTTCAATTTTCCTTGTGGTGACGTAAATGAAGCGCATGTAAGCGCTAATTGTTTCTTTTTTCTGATGATGACGTAAATGAAGCGCACGTCAGCGCTAATTGTTGAACTCTCCTAATGATGATGTAAACGAAGCGCACGTCAGCGCTAATTGTTGTGTTTTCAGCGGTAAAATCAAGCTAACCATTTTTAGGAACGATGTACTCAAATTGTTTATGATATAAATCAAATAGAACAATGAGAAGATGATAAAGTTAAAAACAAGCTAGTCATCTTGTAAAGATGTACCCAAATTGTGTATGATACAAATCAAATTGAACAATGAGAAAAATATCAGCGATAAAGTCAAACTAATCATTTTCTAAGGATGTTGTACTCAAATTGTCTATGATATAAATCAAATCGAAAAATGAGAGAATGACTATGGTAAAATCAAACTAACCATTTTTGTGCATAATGTACTCAAATTGTTTGCGATAGAAATCAATCAAACAATGAGAAAAAATGACAGCGGTAAAATCAAACTAATCATTTTGTAAAGACGTTGTACTCAAATTGTCTATGATTGAAATCAAATCGGAAAATGAGAAATAAATGTCAGCGGTAGAAATCAAACTAACATTTTGGTAACGGATTCACTCAAATTGTTCGTGATATAAATCAATCAAACCATGAGGAAAAATGGTTGCGGTAAAATCAAGCTAACCATTTTGTAAGGATGATGTAGTCAAATTGTCCATGATAGGAATCAAAACAAACAATGAGAAAAAATGATTGCGGTAAAATCAAGCTAATCATTTTTAATAACATGTATTTTTATATTGCAGGAAATTTTTAACATACCTTTGTAAATTTTTTGAGTGATTTTTGGGGATGATTGTGATGAATAACAAATCACTTTGACGTATGATGATGTAATGTAACGAATATGAAAATGATTGTGTGATGACTCATGCTAATGAATGATAATGTTGTGAATATGCAAATAGAGGATATGATGCATTTTCAATTGCTTTGGAAATATGTTGTTTTCGTTGACCTGGGCTCCTTTAAATTGAAGGCCCACAAGAATTGTATCATTACCTTTTGTAGACTAGACCCTTAGTTGTGCTCAATGGTGGGATCTCTTGATCGGACCTCCTTCGGACTTCTCGTTTGTCCAAGGCAGGGTTCTTAAATTTGCATTGGTGTAATGTATTGTGATCCTTTTGTTGTGGACGAACGATTGATTGGTTGGTTGACTGAAGTCAAGGGTGCTCTCAATTTCTTTGATATTTCTAAACTGGTGTCTGGTGAGATGAAAAGATGGGTAGTTTGGGTTGTGAGAATTTATGAATTTTTCTTCTTTAAGGCTACACCATCCTTGCCCCCAGGACATGTTATTCACTTTCTAATCTTCGGAACACAGAGTGACTTTATTAAGCTCGACTTAAGATGAGTACAAAAATGTATGAAAAGTGTGGCTGGAAAAGTATAATGAGAACCTGGTGTTGTGGATAAAATTTTTGTGGGGATACTGCCATGTTGATAAATTTGTTTTTTCATTTCAGCTACCATTAAGATTATGGTCACCATGAGATGCCTTCTTTTATGTTGATGTCCAAATGGAGGTTATGGTTTTCCATAATGGGAATCTTGGATGATGAGATTAATAGATGCTAACATGATAAGGTATTGGGAATCCCTTTTTCCCTGATATGATGACCTTGTCCTAAATGTTTTCAACCATGAGAATCTTTTTTCAAAAGAGTAGCAGATAAATGAGGCTCTTAGGAAGGGCTTTGGCTATGTGAATCTTTTTGTTGAGGGATTTTGGTTGCCCCCGAAGTATGGGATTAACTGATGGGTAAGGGCGATCCTAGTGGCTATTATCATGGTTTGTTCTGAGGAAGTCTTGTTTTCTCGAAATTAGTGGCCGCTTTTGGACATCTTAGGGAATGCATCTTACGTTGCCCCTTGTCTTGAGGTTATGGTTTTAGAATTGGGGTAGAGTAGTGGATAAATGAGGTATTTGTGAATGAGAACTTGGATATGAATGCCTTATCATTGAAGTTCTTTTTTTAGGGTCTTTTGTTGATGTTGGCTGGCAAAAATCTTGACTTGCCGTGAACGGTAGTGACTCAAATGCTGATAATGGGTAAGTCCCACAATATTTTTGAAGTTTTTTTTTTTTGCTTTTTTTTATTTGCCTTTTTGGCTTCTTTTTTATGTATTTTCTTGTGTGAGACTTACTTGACTTAGTTATGCCCCCATTTATGCTCTTCTTCATTTTGGTATTTGTGTTTTGAAGCACGAGCATCAAAAGGTTAAGAGTTTTGTTTTAGTCATTTGACAACACGAGAATCTTTTTTTGTCGGCTAGGCTGAGTAGTTACTTCTTTCTCAACGAAACAGAACTTCTGGCAACTTCATATCTTTGATATACTATTTGAATGCTCTTCTGTCCGAATATGTTGCTAGCAAAAGGTTTGCTCAATTAATGACGAGATTCTACAAGTAACGTGATGTCGTATCCTCATTACACCCTTTGACTATAGACACTCATAATTTGTGGACACCAGTGGGGTGTTTATACTCTCAACTAAAGTAAAGTGCTCACACTCTCGACACCAGTGGGGTGCTTAATCGTTCAAGACCAATTGGGTGCTCATATTCGCTCAACACCAGTGGGGTGCTCTCATTTCCTTAACATAGTAATCTCATGGCTTAACTTTGAAACATGAAATAAAAATTTGATTTTAAAGAGAAAATAAGTTGATTTTTCAATCATTTGAAAAAAAAAATTAGATGCAAACTCCTAAATCGAGATTGATAGAAGTCACAAAATGTTCCAAATAAATAGAAATATGAATGATCATTTTATTCTCTCGATGAAGAAAAATGTGCTACAACTCTCAGCATGGCAAAGTGGCATCAATCATGAATCAAGCTTTGGTTTGTGGCTTGCATATGGGTTTTGATGATTGGGTAGTGGGTTGTAGTTGGTGTTTAGACAATTTGGTTCTTCTTCAAATGTCCCAGAACATTTGTGGGTTGCTCTTTAATTGTTCTAGGATTTTGAGCTTCTTTTGATGTCGTCCAATTTCTTCTGAAATGACTCAATAAAGTGCACAACCTTGGATCTGGTACTTAAAGGCAGACTTCTTCCTTGTAAGTGAACAATTTTAAGGAACCCTTGCCAATTCATTTTGTTACTAGTTAATTGATGTGTAGATATGATGTTTATGGTAAATGATGCTAATGTATGGATGCAAAATGATATTTACTAGATGCATGTGTTTTTTTATTTAAATAATTTTTTTGAATGTGATAAATGTCATGACTTTTGGAATTTTTATGTACCAATTAGATAATAATATTATGAGCATTGATAAAGCACAAATCATTGCATCATACACAAAAATATATGTAAATCGACACAAACATAATTCTATTTAGGTAAATCTAGAGTTTATGGAAGGTTTAACGACGAGATTCAAGGTGGCTTGAAGATTTGTTTTGGAAAATTTAAGGTGGCTTCTAAATAAACAATATGATGGGTAAGGAGTTTCTAGGAATTTGGCTCCCAAGTTGTATCCGTTTATAGCTCTTTCGAGCTAGCCGAATACCTCAAATCAACCTCGGATTCGAGTTCAACTTGGTTAGCAAGTTTCACGGTATTCCCCTACTATTGTTGGAGTCACGTTACACCTTGCAATTTCTAAAGGGAGAGCTCGGGTATAGAGCTTGTTAAGTACGAAATGAAATTAAATACAAAGTAAATAAAAAGCGCAATCAATATAATAACACCCAAAAATAAAGTAAGAAAAACTTATCGATTTAAGTATGTAGCTCGACTCTCAACAGGTCCCCAGCGGAGTCGCCACTGTCGCAACCGCACCTCCAAAATCGGGGTACCCGTCGCGAATTGCTCGGAGTCGCCATCGATCGTATTTTGTGGTGGATCGAACACCATTTGACTCTATTTCAACCATGGAGTCGAAACCGGGATTTGGTCTGCGAATTTTTGAGTTGGGTTCGGGAGTACGGTTACGTGTGGGGAAATGTATTCACACCCCACAACTCCCAAAATTGGTACTACTTAAATCCATAAGTTTTTAAGGGGTAGGTGTATTATAATTTGTGCCTTATTTACATATTTAATTAATTGATTTGATTAATTACATGTTTGTTATTAATAGTTGATCATACGTCTATTAACGTAATTCTCAAAATTAAAGAAAGAGTTTTTAGATTAGTTGGACTCGAACCTATTGGTTGCCTACGTACCCGAGTAGTCGGGATCAAAGTCCACGTAGTTCGATGTAATTTTGAGTGGGTTTGAAAGAGGAAACCTAACACGTTTTATTGATCGTGTTTAAGGTTTGTTAGTGAGTTATTTTGAGAAAATAATTATTGTATTTTGATTTGGTAATCGAATGAATAACGATTTTTAATAAGTTATGTCATATAGCTATTATGAGCTACTGTTGGGGGTGTTACTGAAATACTCCGATTCAGACTAAGTAGGAGGGGCATAATCGACAATGGGCAACACTCGATACCCGCTACAGGTATATAAGGGCTTGAAGCCCTCCAAAGAAGGGGACTTCTTCTGCTCCCTCCTCACTTTCCACTTTCCATTATCTCTCTACACTTTATCTCTCCACCTTGTTCTCTCAACCTTCACCTTAAACATAAACTGACTTGATCGTTGGAGCTTAATCCGGGGGGCAACCCCGGCTCTTTCACAGGTTCTCTCCCTCCCGACGAGATCGGACGAACGGATGACGAGTCAACCCTCACCAACAATCATTATTGTTCATACATCGAGCGAGATGGCACAAACAATTGGCGCCCACCGTGGGGCTGACTGGTGCAATCTTTTGTTCGATTTCTGAAGGAAAAGGAGATCTGTGCAAGGAGAAAAACTGCTCCCGACATCATATTCCACTCAAACCCAGTAAAAAACCCACGATGCAGATGCAAACATGTAGCCACACACGAAGATAAGGTCTGACTCCCTCTCCCTACAAGCTGCAACAGAGGGAGCAATCAAAAAAAAAGAGAGAGAGAAGAAGTTCCAGATCTGAAGAACCAATGAAGGAAAAGAGATAGGAAGACTATTCGTTTGCCACCACAACAAGCAACACCCATCAAGAAAAGGCGGCAAGGGCGATGGACAAAGAAGGCGGGCTAAGGAACCTAAAAGAAAATGTCCCATATTCCAACCGAAGAACATGGAAAAATTCCAGATTTCGTTGATCGGAGATGGTATCAGAGCTCCGACGAGAAAGAAGAATCCGACACCGTCCACATCACCTTCTCTCCCAATCTCCAAAACCCTGGGCCGTACAGTCAAGAAAGAGGGAACAGTCGATGAGACCGCCCTCTAAAAGCCACTTGCTCACTCTGCCAGAAAAAGAAGACAGGCATAGTTTCCGAGACAGACAACGGGGCTACCGAGGCAAACTTTGCGCAAGTTGACTACAGGCTGGAGACACCACGCGAACCGAAACCGCTCGCATCTCCCGCCATCATGATCTTGCGCACCCAGTCCTCCGCGCGATCTATTCTCTCCCGCAAAACCACCTTCAAATCGGAAGCTTCATTTAGGGGGGAGGTCGCATCTATTAGATGACTAGGAGAAGATTGGCGAGAAGCGGCGAGCAACGAATTCAAGTTTTCGTCCCGCTACCGGGGCGTCAATCCTCGCCATCGCTAAGTCACGGAGGGAGAGTAATCGCGGCGACTGGGGAGATTGGCCGCCTGTAATTAATCCAGAGAACTTGAACATCAATATTTGAATAAGCATGACACGATCACCTCCATCTCGCGGCTCGCCACTGATCGAGCCCGCCGCCATCTCGTGGCCGCCACAGACCGATGCCGTTAATACTGGTTGAGATCCGCTCGCGCCTCGCCAGATCTCCAACGGAGCACACTGGATCCGTCCATCAAGCCGCCTCACCAGCTATCTGCGATATAGGTCCACTAGAAGACAGTAGTTTCACAAAGCAAAAGATAAGGAAGAAAGAAGTAATGACTAGGAAGAAGGAACGGAAGAAGTGGAAGCGCGTTAAATCGAGTTCACACTAATTTCATCCGCGTTAATTCTACCACCACATCAAACAGACCGCTCCACAGACCACACGTGCTTCAGACCCAACCAATGGCCAGTCCGCCACTGATTGGGCCAGGTCCGTCGCAACTCTCAGCCCACCCGCCATATCGGCCCGCTCCGCATCGCACCATATTCCAAAGCCACTTCAAAAATGAGAAGCAATAACTGGACTCGAACCCGAGTTCGCCAACAGCAATAACGACATCTCGACCAGCGGGCTACAAACAAGTTGTGTCGAAATGGCGTGTCATCACTATTTGTATCGCGGCCGCGCGGCCGCTCTACCCGATTCCATAGACACCGCGTCCCCGAGAACTGCAACGAGCGTCGAAAGCCCGACTAGCGCAACGCGCCAATTGAGCCCACATTCATCAAGATTGCGATCTTGATTCCACCGCTCTACATGGGCTCGCGCCGCCCGAACCGCGCCTCACGAGGTCCGGTCCGCGTCACAATTCAAGGCCCGCACAACCAGCACCCGTGGGCCCAACTCGCGGATCGTCTCCAAACTCCTTTCCCCGGGCCCGCTTCGCTCCGTCTACCGCCAAGCCCAACGTCGCGGTCACCCCAACTGGCGGTCCATCAGCGCCCCACTCGCATCAAAAATATAATCGCCGCCACCAGGGTTTGAACCCGCGCCACCATTCAACAATACCAGGAAGTTGTCCGGCAAGCTACAAGCGAGCCTTGTGTTTCAATGGCGCAATGCCTGATTTTCAACTACTCGCGGTCCGCACTGCAAAAGGCTCAACTCGCGTCTCAACAACACGCACCATCACGCAGCCCATTACCGCGGCAAGAATCCAAGACTGACGCGCACTTGGAACAAGGCTATGGAAGTTAAAAAAACAAAATGCTGCTTCCACCGTGATTTGAACCCGCGCCACTCTTCCGCCAGAAAAGCAAGATTGCCAGCAGGCTACAAGCAAGCCTTGTGTTTCAATGGCGCCGCGTCTGATCATGCACTATTTACGCCTACTCAGTTCGAAAGAACAAAAAATAGCAATAGTCATGCACTATTCACGCCCACTCAGTTCAAAATAACAAAAAATAGCAATAGTCATGCCCTATTCGCGCCCACTCAGTTCCACGGAACAAAAAGTCGCAATAGTCACGAACTATTCGCGCCCACTCAGTTCCACGGAACAAAAAATAGCAATAGTCATGAACTATTCGCGCCCACTCAGTTCCACGGAACAAAAAGTCGCAATAGTCACGAACTATTCGCGCCCACTCAGTTCCACGGAACAAAAAATAGCAATAGTCACGAACTATTCGCGCCCACTCAGTTCCACGGAACAAAAAATAGCAATAGTCACGAACTATTCGCGCCCACTCAGTTCCACGAAAAAAAAAAAGAAGCAATGGTCATGAACTATTCGCGCCCACTAAGTACGACAGAACACAAAATGATCAACTCGCGTCCCGCGCAACTAGTACACGTGAGCCCAACTCGCGGTCAAAAATAATATTGTCACCGCAAGGGCTTGAACTCGCGCCGATCTTGTACAAGACAGGAAAGGCAACCAATAGGCTACAAACCATAATCATGATCCATAGGTGCAGCGCGCCATTTTTAAGCTTCGCATCTCCGAAGCGCGGACGCGGTACGTTCACGGAAAAGGAGACCACCACTCGCGGGCCCAAGCTTGCAGCCCAACTCGCGCCCACGCGTTCAGTCCAAGTCGCGCCCCATCCTACCCAACCCGCGGCACACTGAGCCCGCGTCCAAGCGCGGTGCAACTTGGCCCGCGCCCAAGCGCACTGTCCAACACGTGGCCCGCACTTCAGGCGGCCCAGCTCGCGCTACGCATTCAACAGGAGCGGACCCCTTCAAAAATAATATTGACGCCACCAGGATTCGAACTCGCGTCACTCCTCCGCATGACAAGCAACAATACCAAAGGCTACATACGCGCCTTGTGATTCATTGGCGCAACACTCTATTTTAACAACTCTTCGCGCCGCTTCGCCAACATAAAACTAAGTACTCTACCCCTCTATCATTATTAAATATTGAAATATTTTACTTTTCTGAGCGTTAATGGCGCTAATGGGGGGCAAGACGTAAGAAGCTGGCACCGCGTCAGTCAAACGCGCCACCAGCAGGGGGCAACTGGGGTACACAGGGCTCCATCCAAAATTATCGATGAAGATTTTTTGAAAAAAATAACAAGCTAGCGATGAGTTAAAACTCACCACCAGCTTGGGGGGCAATTGTTGGGGGTGTTACTGAAATACTCCGATTCAGACTAAGTAGGAGGGGCACAATCGACAATGGGCAACACTCGATACCCGCTACAGGTATATAAGGGCTTGAAGCCCTCCAAAGAAGGGGGCTTCTTCTGCTCCCTCCTCACTTTCCACTTTCCATTATCTCTCTACAGTTTATCTCTCCACCTTGTTCTCTCAACTTTCACCTTAAACATAAACTGACTTGATCGTCGGAGCTTAATCCGGGGGGCAACCCCGGCTCTTTCACAGGTTCTCTCCCTCCCGACGAGATCGGACGAACGGATGACGAGTCAACCCTCACCAACAATCATTATTGTTCATACATCGAGCGAGATGGCACCAACAATCATTATTATTATGAGCTACTAACCACTTGCTTCTTTAACCCCCTTCCTTCATCAGAATGTGGTCTCTCCCCTTGGAAAAGATCAAGAACTTCCTCTTCTTTGCTTTCTTCCTAATCCTCCACAACTTCTTCCCTCGCCCTTTCTCGCTCTTCTTCTTCTAGCACAGATTGGAGAGCAAGTCGCCATGTAATTTCTTCAAGGAGATCATCTTGTATCTCCTCGCTCGGGCCCAGCATATCAGAGCGGAAATGGGGACAGTTGTGATCTACCACTAGAGGATACACTTGATCATGATTATCATGGGAGCTTTCCGTGACAACTTCTGTATGCTCCTCAACATCCTCATGATTGCCTTCTTCTTCCTCTTCCTCTACTTGTATGGCAGCATAAAGGTTGTCTTGAGAAAACTGTGCACAAGCTTTCTCAATGATCTCTATGTGCTTCTTTATGCTACGAAGGGTATCCTCTGTTTTACGGGGAAAAGAGAAGTTAGTTTGGGCCATGGCCTGGATATGAGGATCCATCTCGGGAAAGGATCTGTCAGGTACTCGAGCAATCTGCTCCACGAGAAGCCTCAAGTGATAGTTTGGATCTGGCTGTGGAGTGTAGCATGGCTCAGCCAGATGGCCCGTGAAGGCTGTGGCTAAATCAAGATCTGATGGCCCTTCTAGTTGTGGGAGGAATTCTTCTTGATAATGAGATTGTTCTTGAAGTACCCAAGGGTCGGATTGTTCTTCGTAGTAGGGGGTTGGTACTGAAACCCGACTCCATAGTCTTCGTCTCCCTGGGTGTTCAAGGAAGTCTCGGGGTAATACCACTCGGGTGGTGGTGGATACCTCCAATGGTTGGAGAAGCCTTGAGAATCCAAGTATCAGATCTGCACCAACAAAAACAAAATACCCAAGTGAAAAGCAAGGGTGGAAAAGAGAGGATGCATAAAAGTAAATGCTAAAGTAACGGACTTTCATGTTTCTACACCTAGAGTCCCCGGCAACAGCGCCAAAAACTTGACACGTTAAAACACAACACCAAACTACGACCAAGTGTAATCGCAGTCCGGAAATGCAGTAACAGGCAAGCTCTAATTGTCAACCCGGGGTCTAGATCTACTACCTACTCCGTGTATATCTGTTATCTAGCAAACTAAGTTGATTGATTGTTGATTTACGTAAAAGCAATAAGAAAGCAGGAAATGGTTCGGTTTTCTAAAGCAAAGGAAGAGTCACTCGGGAATGAGTTCCCCTAGCTCCTTAGTTAGGTCACAGTTGTAATTACTTTTGGTTGCTTTACTGCTGATTATACTGCGGAAGATCCGACAGTAGCTTGGAATCTCTTAAGCTGACCAAGCCCTCTCAGTCAAACTTCCCGGCAGACGACTAGTTTTCACCAGGATGGAATGCTGAGGCAATGAACACAGAACTCCACTACTGGAATTAGATTCCAGTACAAAGCAGTGAATCGACTAACTCTCGTATAATCGATTCACTACTACCGATTGAAGAAGCTCTAAAACTAATCAGATTCTATCTATCTCGGGTTGCAGCAGAAAGCAATAAAAGGTGATCAAACTTCAATTGACTCATTCAAATCACTTCAATCAATTATAATCAAGCAATATCACAATCCAAACGTAATTACAATCAAGATTCCTAACACATGGAACAAGGGTTCTTCATACCCAAGTGAGAGAGAGTTCTACTCCATAGAGAGAGAGAGGGAAACAAAATACAAAGCAGTCATACTCATAACAATGGGAAGAATTTGCTCTGGGATGTCAATCTTCACTCCTGGGGATACAATCGGTGCTTCAATCGCGAGAAATCCACTCCAAATAGCTCCTAGGGTTTGTTCTTCGCACTTTCTCTCTCTAACACTCTGTTTTTGCTCCAAAAAGCCGACTCTCTCTCCTTTGGCTTGAATCTGCCTAAAACCCCCGATTGTGGGTGAAATACGGGTTGAATTACGGTCGTAATCATGGTCTGCCCGTAATTCACCCAAAACGCGTGTTTCAGTAAACTCCGAGGAAGGTAATTATGGTCGTAATTACCCAATTACTGCCAGTATTTAAGTAATTACGACCGTAAATGAGTCCACTCTTGCCCGTAATTTGCTCTGCGACAGGAATTCTCAGGGATTTAGGCTTGGCATTGCATTTACGGGCATGACAGAAGCAATTACACCCGTAATTGGGCAGGGGCTGCCCGTAATTCTTCCTCCGCTCCTGTTTAATGCATCGTTTCTCCCTCGTTTGGACTCCGAATCAGTCGCCGTTTTAACCTAGACGCTCGTAGTCTCGTCCTCTTTCTTTTCATAACAAAATTCCATGATTATTTATCCATAAAATGAGGTAGAAATCCATTATTCCTCAGGTCATGCTCGTGTTTCTTCTCCCGAATTGCCAAATGAATTCCGATTGACTTGAAACTTGCGCCTTTGCACCAATTTACATGCTGGGACCTGAAATGTGACAAAGGAACACAACCTAGCATAAAATAGTCCAAGATGAAGAAAGAAGGGTGTCGTTCTCCCCAAGGTATCTGAACGGTGACGTTTTGATACAGCTGAATGCCACTTTGATAACACGACGTCGTCTGGTTCGCAACGGCACAAGAGCAAAAGAATCGTCCTTCGAAGTCTTCTTCTAAATATGAAGATCATCGAGGCGCTCAAACCTAGCCACCCACCTACGAGAATCTGCAGCACAATTCCAAAGCTGTTCTCGGTGATCTTCTACAAGACATCACCGACTCCATGAAGGCAATGATGAAATTCCCAGAGGAGCGCCTATGCATCCAGCAACGGTCATCTCCTCCATTATAGTATAAATCGTCACTCTCCTCCTTCATTTAAACTCGGCCGTTTCTAGAGAAGGAAATAGTAGAGAGCTTTGTCTACTTTGGGTCCGTGTTTCTGTCTCTTCAAGTTGCTTAATTCACAGTGTGATTAGCTAGGTGAATTAAGCTTGGGAAGAGGGTCGTGTTTCTGAATGATTTCAAAGTGCCAACTTAGTTTGGCATGAATTAGGAATTCGGTGTAAACTGTTTTAGATTGTAATCTTTCCCTTCCAATCAATAAACTACCCTTTTTACATTCAGTTTGAGAGAAAGAGTGATTCATTGATCTGAACTAGAAAAGTTCTCTCCTTTCTCGAAGTCAACACAAGAAACACATGGAACTAGGGTTCTTCATACCCAAGTGAGAGAGGGTTCTACTCCGTAGAGAAAGAGAGAGGGAAACAGAATACAAAGAAGTTATACTTATAACAATGGGAAGAATCTGCTTTGGGATGATGATCTTCACTCCAAGGATGATTTCCAAGCTTGATTGATGAAACCCAGCTCCAAAACCACTCTTTGGGGGTGTTCTTCGCACTTTCTCTCTCTAGGGCTCTGTTTTTGCTCCAAAAAGTCGATTCCCTCTCATTTGGCTCGAATCTGCCTCAAAAACCCGATTCTGGGTGAAATACGGGCTAAATTACGGTTGTAATCATGGTCTGCCCGTAATTCACCCAAAACGCGCGTTTCACTAAACTCCGAGGAAGGTAATACGGTCGTAATTACCCAATTACTGCCAGTATTTAAGTAATTACGACCGTAAATGAGTCCACTCTTGCCCATAATTTGCTCTGCTACAGGAATTTTCAGAGATTTAGGCTTGGCATTGCATTTACGCGCATGACAGAAGTAATTACGCCCGTAATTGGGCAGGGGCTGCCCGTAATTCTTCCTCCGCTCCTGTTTAATGCTTCGTTTCTCCCTCGTCCGGACTCCGAATCAGTCACCGTTTGAACCCAGAAGCTCGTAGTCTCGTAATATTTCTTTTCATAACAAACTTCCATGATTATTTGTCCATAAAATGAGGTAGAAATCCATTATTCCTCAGGTCATGCTCGTGTTTCTTCTCCCGAATTGCCAAATGAACTCCGATTGACTTGAAACTTGCGCTTTTGCACCAATTTACATGCTAGGACTTGAAATGTGACAAAGGAACACAAACTAGCATAAAATAGTCCAAGAAATCAAAAAATCTAGCCAAAATGATGAAGAAACGAGAGTGCAAACATGTGCAAATACGACGTTATCAAGCCTCTGTCTCTAAGTGAAGTATATCGAGATCAACTCCAAATGCAGCAACGTCGAGAGCAAGAAAAGACAAATAATGCATCGACCAAGAAAGGAGAAGAAGGAGATGGAATTGTGGATTCTAAGGCAGTGATGCTAGTACGCATTGGAGATTTGAAGCAAGCTGCCTGTGGGCGAGAACCTTTGATTGTGCTCAGGTATAAGGATGTGCTACTCAATCAAGAGCTAGTCCAATAAGTTCCAGCCGAAGCAAGAGTGGTGTTGGAATAATTTGGGGATGTGTTTCTAGAGGAAGCACTCATGGGGTTGCCTCCTATTCGCGGAATTGAGCACCATATTGATTCGTGTCGGGAGCTCAAATTCCAAACAAGGTAGCATATCGAGCTAATCCGGAAGAGACCAAAGAGATGCAAAGGCAGATTGACGAGCTCATGGAGAAAGGGCATGTTCGAGAAAGTTTGAGCCCGCGTGCAGTTCCGGTGATTCTCGTGCGAAGAAGGATCACACCTGGCGGATGTGTGTAGACTGCCGAACCATCAATCAAATTATAGTTAAGTATCGTAATCCAATCCCATGATTATATTATATGCTTGATGAATTACATGGCTCTATGGTGTTTTCCAAGATTGATTTGAGATTAGGTTATCACCAAATTCGTATGAAGGAGGGACACGAGTAGAAGACTGCGTTTAAGACCAAGCATGGTTTATACTGATGGATGGTGATGCCCTTTAGTTTGAGCAATGCTCCTAGCACGTTCATGAGATTGATGAACCACATTTTGAGGCCATTCATTGGCAAGTTCGTGGTCGTCTACTTCGACAGTATTCTAATTTACTCGAAGTGCATGGAGGATCATCTCAATCATCTGCGAGAGGTGTTGGCGATGTTGAGCAGGAAAAGTTGTATGCTAACCTCAAGAAGTGCTCGTTTTGCACTTCTAGTGTTATTTTTCTTGGTTTTATGGTGAGTGCAGATGAAGTCAAGGTGGATGAAGAGAAGGTGAAGGCAATCCGCGATTGGCCTACTCCAACCAACGTGAATGAGGTGTTGAGATTTCATGGGCTTGCTGGGTTCTATCGACAATTTGTGCCCAATTTTAGCACCATGGCTGCACCATTGACTGCCATCATCAAGAAGAACATGACGTTCTATTGGGGAGAGTAGCAGACCAGAGCATTCGAGCTTCTCAAGTACAAGCTCACGCATGCACATATTCTGATGTTGCCTAATTTCACGAAGACATTCGAGGTGGAATGCGATGCTTCTGGTTTGGGAATTGGAGCAGTGTTGATGCAGGAGAGGAAGCCGATTGCTTACTTCAACGAGAAGTTGAGTGGGCCTGCCCTCAACTATCCTACATATGACAAGGAGCTCTATGCTCTAGTTCGAGCCTTAGAGACGTGGCAGCACTATCTTTGGCCGAAGGAGTTCATGATTCACACTGATCACGAGTCGTTGAAGTATCTGAAGGTTCAACACAAGCTGAATAAAAGACATGCTCGATGGGTTGAGTTCATTGAGTCCTTTCCATACATGATCAAGTACAAGCAGGGCAATGAGAATGTAGTTGTTGATGGCCTATCTTGAAGGCATTCGTTGATCACGGCGATAGGGGTGAAGTATTTGGGTTTCGAGCATATCAAGGAGCTCTATGCTGATGATGCTGGCTTTGGGGAGATCTATAGAGCTTGTGAGCAGCATGATGATGGGGAGTTCAATCGAAGTGATGGCTACTTGTTTTGAGCTAACCAGTTGTGCATTCCTCGATCATCACTTCGAGAGTTGCTGTTGAAGGAGGCTCATGGAGGAGGTTTGATGGCACATTTCGGTGTAGAGAAGACACTGGGTTGTCTACAAGAGCACTTCTATTGGCCTCACATGAAGGGAGACGTAGAGAAGCTGTGTGAGAGGTGTGTAGAATGCAAGCAGGCCAAGTCGAAGGTGCAATCAACTGGATTATACGCACCACTGCCTATTCCATATGCTCCATGGATCGATATTTCTATGGACTTTGTGCTTGGTTTGCCGCGGACAAGGAAGGGACGAGATTCAATTTTCGTGGTGGTGGATCGATTCTCGAAGATGGCTCACTTTATCCCCTGTCATAAGACGGATGATGCTATTAATGTGGCTAATTTGTTTTTTAGGGAAGTGGTGAGTTTGCATGGGATGCCGCGTTCCATAGTATCCGATAGAGATACTAAGTTTCTAAGTTCATTTTGGAAGACGTTGTGGGGCAAAATGGGGATGAAGCTATTGTTCTCTACCAAATTTCATCCTCAAACTGATGCACAAACAGAGGTGGTCAATCAAACATTATCCCATATGCTCTCAAATCAAAAGCAACGTCAAGATTTGGGAGGACTGCCTTCCCCACGTGGAGTTTGCTTACAACAGGATGGTGCATTCGACGACGAAGTTCACTCCATTTGAGCTCGTGTATGGTTTCAATCCTCTTGCTCCTTTGGATTTGATACCATTGCCTTTGAAAGAGCAGGTCAATCTCGATGGAGCTAAGAAGACTGAGTTTGTGAAAAGTCTACATGAGAAGGCGAGATTGAACATTGAGAGAAGGATGGAGCAGATCATGCGCAATGTGAACAAAAATAGGAAACCGAGGCACTTTGAAGTTGGCGACTGGGTGTGGGTGCATTTGAGGAAGGAGAGGTTTCCCTAGTAAAGGAAATCGAAGTTGCTTCCCTGATGTGATGGTCCTTTCCAGGTGGTTTCTAAGATTGGAAGCAGCGCCTACAAGATTGACTTGCCGGGAGAGTATGGAGTAAGTGCAACGTTTAATGTTTCTGACCTTGCACCTTATTTGGATGGCAAATCGGATTTGAGGGCAAATCCTTTTAAAGAAGGAGGGGCTGATTAAGACATCAATGGGTCAGTCACACGTGCAAAGGCAAGAACGTTGAAGGAAAAGCTTGCAACATATTTGGAGAGCTACTTTGGACTCATGGACGTGGAGTTGTTTCGAGGGAAGCCATATATGATGATTAGAGTGGAGGAAGAAGGAGGAAGTGCTGGAGAGAAG